TACTCCTTCTTCCTCCAGCAGGTCAGCTAGGTGTAGTTGATTCCAAGAATTTAACTAGATGTTTTTTCACCGGGAACTGCTGTAACAGATGCAATTCAAAGTATGACCACCAGATGGCAGAATGACTCCACATACGTCCTTGGAGAATAAAATCGAGATCACTAACCATACAACCAACCAACCTTTGGGTAAATGTGGGAGTAAGTGAAGGTTGTCTTTGAGACACCTGTCTCCCTTTCCATCTCCCATATTTTGAGTTCCCTCTATCAGGGATCCAGTGATCTCATTCTGCTACTTAATCTCCAAACCATTCCCAAACCTTCCCATGGGATTTACTATCCAGGCTTACCTCGCCTTCCCCCAAAACCATTACTCTCACACCCTCACGCGCATTCAGTCCGTAATCACAAGGGAAGAAGGGAAGACTGATAATTCCTCTGGGTTATTTGCATCTCAAAAGAAAATGCTTACCCAAAGGAACCTTTAACTCAGGGGTTCTTAATTTGGGGGTCAGTCACCCCAGAAGGTCCATTATTGGACTTCAGAGGGTCTGTGAAACCCCTAATACCGTCAGAACTTAGTGTGTGTGTTCTAATGAGTGTTGTCCAGAGGGCTAAAGCTTTCATGAGATTCTCAAAGGTCTCAGATCCACAAAGGGTTAAAAACCACAAATTTAAACTAGTGGAACTGTCAGCCCAAAGGTTCTGCAATGCAGAGTGAAGTAAGGGGCCATTCAAGACAGACTTTTAGAGACAAGCCGTCTTCTCTCATGTTTATTAAATGGAGAAAGTTGGCACACGCCAAGAAGTGGAAGTCTTCAGAAATCCTTGGCACACCCCAGGGTATTGTTGCCATACCCCCAGTAACTTTGTCCTCTCTTCACCACCAAACCAGAGCAGGTGTTGCTGACTGGAGGGCCACAGCAGGTGGAAGGAAAGACTTTCCAGCTGGAGATGCCCTTTCCAGCGGTGTATGATTATCAGTTATCCCCTTGCCTGGCTCTGCCTGAGGCTCAGCGGTGCATGACCCCCTAGGTGACCCCACAGCTGCCACTCACCCACAACACCTATCCTGCCTAATAGGAAGAGGCAAAGTGTCAGCCCTCCGTGCTGGGCACCTGAGACCAAAATCAGCCAACAGTAAGTTTCAAGCAAGCACTGTCATATCAGTCTTCTTGCCCAGCTGGCCACTGGCCCAAGGGGGCCAGCCTGGCTAGTCTTCCTTTCATTACCCTCAGGCCACGGGGCTCAGGCTACTGCTATTGCATTACATCCATCCCTTTGCCAAATCCCAAAGGAGCCTGTCACCACTCTCCTCACTAGTCCCTGCTCTGTTCTCTTAAGATTTTCTTCAGGTTAAAAAAAAAAATTAAAAACAAAGATTTTGAAATAAAGCATTTATGAAGGATTAATAAATTGTAAATAATTTTTAAATAAAATGAAAATGCTTTTCCTGGAATGTTTTTCTTGCCCCTTGAATAGCTCAGTTCTAAAGTGGCTTCACATTAGAGACACAGATTGAGTGGAGCACATGCAGAATTGTCTCAGCGGAGGCCCACCTCCCTGAGGAGGCGAGGCTCTTGATGCCAGGTGTGAGTCCACAGTTCAGGTTACAGGGGAGCACTAGTGTTCTCCTCTGGGCACCAGATGGGTAAGGTTTTGCAGCAGTGGATGCCAGCAAGGAAAACTAAAACCAAAATGAGAAGCCAGAATGTGAATGAGGACAAGTACTCCGTCGGTGATGAGAAGTTCTGGCATTCGTTGAGCCCTGGGCAAGGCCCGGGCAAGGCACTGGGCTGGGCACCTTCCAAGTTCAGAGTCTGGGGGGACAGCTCCAGACCAGCCCCCGAGATGATGTGCTGGACGCACTGGCTCACTTCTGCAGACCCTTTGGAGAGGAACCAAAGTGGTACAACTCTGGTGGTTTCCAACCAAAGGCTGGAAAAAGTCATAGGGGAGTGGGCCAGATATATTGGTCAATTTTAAGCCAACCGGTGTCGGAGGGAGGGAGGAGGTAAGGTGTGTTTGGGCATTTGACGTCTTTGTGGAAGGAAGGTTGGTATTTGACACCTACTATAAATGTCTCAAACCAGCACCAAGATCAAGGTCCATTAGTGGCCTATGGATAACTAAAGATTCTTCCCAGGAGCCTCCAGAGTCTGTTACCCTTCCTAGCAATGACTATAAATGACAGGAACAGCTGTTTTGGTGAAGGCTTTATGTGCCAAGTGTTGTACTAAGTATACATTTGCTCATTTCTGTCCCAAACCACCCTATGAAGGTTTTAGTTTATGAAACAGGCTCTGCGTCATTAAGTGGCTTGCTCAAGGTCACAGCCAGGAAGTGGCAGATGGCAGCACCCCTGCTCCTGAGACAAAACGTGTAGAAAACAGTCCTACCTCTGAAATTCACATAGTGTGCACATGCCTGAGGCCCCAAGAAGTCCAGCTACAGTCAAGAAATCTATGGGATTCCCTAAGCCCAGCTTTTACCAAACCTAACACAAAACCCTTTCTTCACACGGGGGAAACCAGAACAGTGTGGGGAACGCCAGCCTATGTCAGGAGAGGAGGGCCCAATTCCCAGTGATTGGGACTTTTTTTTTTTTTAAAGATTTTATTTACTCATGAGAGAGAGGCAGAAACATAGGCAGAGGGAGTAGGCTCCCTGCAGGGAGCCTCATGTGACACTCGAACCCAGTGCCCCAGGATCACAACCTGAGCCAAAGGCAGACGTTCAACCACTGCGCCACCCAGGCATCGCAGGGCTTTTTTGTTTTAAACACGAAAAAATTATTTTAGGACTTCGGTGGGGGCATTCTGGCTTAAAGATCTGTTTTTAACCTTTTTTGGTTTTTAATCATGTCTTCTTCCCGCAAGAGAAAAATTAAATTTTCCCTAATGAGAAAAATGAAATACTGAGAACTGAGAATTTATAGAGTAGGCGTGCACTTTGGAGGGCCACACATCATTTTACTATCTTAAGCTTCTTTCACCCACTGAGAGGTACTGTCCCCTCATTGAGAATTCCTGGCTTAAAGCTGTGTTTAGAGAAGATGACATTAGAGTGACTGCAGGTAGGATCACTGACCCTGGTCTTCATTAATAGCCAGCATCTTTCAACATGAAGAACAAATACTGATGAAAAGGAAAATAGGACGGGAGGTCATGAGATGAGTGTCAGGTCATCTTTTCAAATCTGTTGACACCTGCTAGATCCAATCATACACTGTGTTCTCTGAATGACTACCCGCGATCCATGCAGATCCTAAGGACATCTGGAAACCGGACTCTACGCAGAAACAATAAAGAATGGGGGTAGGAGTTTCATGAAAAAGCAAAAATAAGGAAAACTGCTACTTCCAACTATTTGAAAGGTCAATCCTGAGTGCCACTGGATTTGATGCCCATGGTTTCAAAGACGGGAGGAGGAGACCAGGGAGCAGGACAGGTGGAGATCAAATTCTGGGTAACGTAAAGGTCTTTTAAGACCTTTACATTAAGGTGCACCTGGGGCAGCCCAGGTGGCTCAGCGGTTGAGCGCCGCCTTCAGCCCAAGACCTGATCCTGGAGACCCAGGATCGAGTCCCACGTCAGGCTCCCTTCATGGAGCCTGCCTCTCTCTCTCTCTCATGAATAAGTAAAAAAAATATTTAAAAAAGAATAATAATTAAGGTGCTCCTCCAGTGGAATGAGAGGCTTCACAATGTACTGGAAGAATCGATTTCCCACCCCACCCCATTGAAAAGCTGGAGTCAGGGGTGCCTGGATGGCTCAGTGGTTGAGCATCTTCCTTTGGCTCAGGTCGTGATCCTGGGGTCCTAGAACTGAGTCCTGTATTGAGCTCCCCACAGAGAGCCTGCTCCTCCCTCTGCCTGTGTCTCTGCACCTCTCTCTGTCTACCATGAATAAATAAATAAAATCTTGAAAGAAAGAAAAGAGAAAGAAAAAAGAAAGAAAAGCAGGAGTCAAGGACAGTACAAAATACTATTGTACTGGGGGAGACAAAGTAGGGCTGATAAGACCCAAACATCCCCCAGGACTGCAGGATTTTAGAATCACTCAAAGGCATCCCAGAAAGGAGCAGATCCTGTTATAATAAGAGTTATCTTTCATTATTTAAAAACTCTCCAAGTAGTAGCCTTCTTGTTTTAAGTAAGACTCAAAGACTGCAAAACTATCATTTGGAGAGTCAGACTCTCTGGAAAAGGTGATCTGTATTTAAGTGGCTCTCCTTGTTTCAAGAGACCAGGAGGTCCTCTGCCTGCAATGGGAGGGGCTATGTTCTAGAATCACTCCAAGTGATGCCAACCCTTCCATGAATCCATGAAGTCCAGTTTCTCAAGTACTGAAGAAGATAGCTGGCCACTGAAGGACAAGCCCACAAAACTAACAGAGTTGAGTGAGTGAGTTCTCTGAAGGGAGGCATATTTCAAGAAGACAGTTCAGCTTTTTCTTTAGCAACTAGCAAATCCCTCTAGAGCATCCATTTTATTTTTTTATTTTTTTAAATTTTATTTACTCATGAGAGACACAGAGAGAGAGGCAGAGACACAGGCAGAGGGAGAAGCAGGCTCCATGGAGGGAGCCTGACGCGGGACTCGATCCCAGGTCTCCAGGATCATGCCCTGGACTGAAGGCAGCGCTAAACCGTCACCCAGGTTGCCCTAGAGCATCCATTTTAAACTATGGGTTACAACCCATTAGTGGATCTCAAAATCAATTCCATGGGTCTCAATCAACTTTCATTTCTTTAGTGAAACAGAACACAAAAGGATAGAAAATATCAGAACACACTGCTCACAGCAAGTTTAATGTTGTGTTAAACTTGTGTTTCAGTTATGTGTGTGTGTTTGTGTGTGTGTGTGTGTGTGTGAGAGAGAGAGAGAGAGAGAGAGAGAGAGAGAGAGATGTAAATCTATTTCTTACCTTGGCTGCCCTAGAGAACTAAAGCATAGGGCTAGGGACACAACCACGTAGAAAGAACAGGAGACAGTCTGGGTAGAGATGACAAGTTTTAATGACACAGCCAACACTCACAATCACAGTTGGCTCTTCAGACAACTTGATCTTTGAGGCAAGATTTTGTGCAGAGTCAAGCGATACACAAAAGCATATGAGCAAGAGAGGCAGCATTCCGGCTTCTAGTGAGGGAGCGAGATATCTAGGTCTCATGATCAAAGTCCTTTTTATTCTTAAATAAAAACCTTCATTTGCTCTGGCCTCCTAAGGGGCTCTGATCCCAGGCCCGTTTCTTTACGAGGGATGTTCTTCTTGTAGGGGGCCAGCTTGAACAGAGGCCACCTCGCCAGAGCAGCGTTCTAGTCCTCCGTAGTCTCTTTCCGTGATACACACAGCGAGGCTTGTGCAGGCAGGGAACACACATGACAGAGGGCCGCTTTGGTGGTGCTGGTTCGGGTGGTATTTCTTCACTGGATCTTGGTGACAGCCTCATGGATGGAGGTGGCCACATACTCTAGATTTTTAGTGGTCAAGCCACACATGTTGATCCGACCGCTTGGCAGCAAATAGATGTGCTTTTCGTTGACCAGATATTCAACCTGCTTGGCTGTTGAAAACCAAAAGCGATATAATGAGAGTAGCAGGAATCCTCTCAGCGATGGAGGTTCAGAGATTCCATGACAATTGCCATGTTCCTTCTTTCCCCCAACAGAGAAGCAAAATAAAAGGAGCTATTTTGTCCAATTAGAAAATATAGGGAAGTATGCTCAAATGATTCTGGAAACCACTTAGCTAACTTTCTAATCCCCAGGAAGTTTAACATGACTCCTCCTAAAGGGAATTTGAATTGGGACTACCTCTCAACTGAAGCTTGCATGTTACATTCACCAGGACACCCTATTAAAACAACCCTCAAACTTACGAACATTCTACTGACATGAAAAACTGGTTTGAAGTGCTTCCTTTATCTCGCCCCCTTAACCTGTATTTGCTTATCCCTGAGCACACAGCAGCAAACTCCCACTGACGCTTCCTCTTCTCCGCTCATTGTAGAAGGCCCCGGGCTAAAAGTAAATGCTGTGTGCCTGAACCAAAGGCTGAAAAACTGCCAAGGTTCCTGTGACCCAGCACTTCTCAGGTCCCTCACTTACACACATGCAGCTGGGCTTGGCATGAATAGGAAGGGACTGCCTATACTTCCCTCATGCCACCATCTCTAGAGATCTTTGGTGTATTACAAAGCCATGAGAAAATTTTATTTGATTTCTGCCTGAATAATTAGCACCCTTGATTAGCAGGAATGGGTAATTATCATGAATTGTCACTAAATGTTTGTGTCCCTCCAAAATTCCTATGTTGAAACCCTAACCTCTAACGTGATGGTAGGAGGAACTGGGGCCTCTGGCAGGTGATGACGTCTGGAGGACACCCTGAGAGTAGAGCCCCTGTGTTGGCAAGAGTGCCCTTATAAGTGACTAGAGAGCTGGTATGTGTGTGCATGTGGTTCCTCTTCTCTCTTTCTCTTACAACCAATATCTGAGGACACAGCAAGAAAGCAGCCAACTGCAAGCTACAAGAGAGCCCCTGCCCTAGAAGTGACCATGCTGGCACCCTGATCTCAGACTGCCCAGTCTTCAGAACCGTGAGAAGGAAATGATTGTTGTTTAAGTCACCTCACCCATGGTACCTTGTTACAGCAGCCCAAACTCAGAAGGTAATAAAATCATAATAACTAGAGGAGCAAACACTGTGTGCCAGGCTGTGTTCTAAGTACTTTATATTAACTCAGTTTATCTTGATAATAACCTTATCTTTCCCATTGCACAGAGGGTGTAGAGGGAAGCTAAAAGACCTTCCCAACATCATATAGCTAGTCAGTGGTGGGTCTGGGATTTTAAGGCAGGCATGTAACTCCCAAGTCTATGTATGCAAGTATGCAATCTGGACCCCATACTCAGTGCTACCAGGGATCCCTCCAAACAAAACAAAGCAACCTTCGGAAGTTACCTTGACCAGCTGGAACTGTGTGAATTACAGTCCTGCAAGGAGACACCATCAGAGCCACAGGCACACCACTGTTTGTAAAGCCTATGCCTCCCTGGCAGGTGCTGTGGTTCCAGGGCTCCAAACCCTGTTTTTGTTTATTTTTAAGATTTTATTATTAAGGAATCTCTACACCCAGTGTGGGGCTTGAACTCACAACCTTGAGATCCAGAGTTGCATGCTCCACCACTAAGCTAGCCAGGCACCCCAACCTTGTTTTTTGTTTTTTGTTTTAATAAAAATGAAACTTAACTACTTTGTAAGGGGAGCATCACGGCTGAGAAGCTAAACCTATGGATTCTTTCCCTAGAAAAGGCCAATACACACATACACAATTTTTCAAATATCATTTCAGGGGCTTCACAGATCTAGAATATGACATGGACAACAGGCTGCAAATCCCTGTTCTGATGGATAAAATGTCATAAAGGGAGCACTGCAGAACCAAGGTGGTGGGTGGTGAGTATATGGGCCTCACTGTACAATTCCTCCACCTGTTCTGTTTTAAAATTTTTTCCTATAATGTTGGGAGGGGAAAAAAAAAAAAAAACGTTTTTAAAAAGGGTAAATAGTGCCAGGTGCTAAAAATAGAACTTACATGTTATAAGCACAGGTGTGTTCTCACCATTTTTTAATTCATAGTAAAACTAATTTCCTATTCTGGAGAGTGGGATAATATGGATATTTTGTGGGATGACAATCCCCATCTTGTGAATTTTCAGAATATTACTACTAAATATCATTTCTATTACACTTAATATTTTAAAAATTGCAAAGTATGATTTTACTTAAGTGAACTAATGCCCTATTTCAGAATCATGAGGACACCTATGGCCAACTGAACTATCCTATCCCTTCACTTTTTGGGAAGCCGCATTTTAACCCAAAGTATTTCTAGGGGTCTACCATATACAGTCTCTACCACTTATCTTGTTTATATTTCCTTCTGCTTTTTCTGAGCTCATTTCACACTGGTACCCTAATGACCCTGGTTTACAATGCTTCCCAGCACCTCTGGTGTTCCATTTACTCACCCAAGTCAGGCACAAAACTGTCCTCAGAGCCATTCAGACACAAGCTCCAAACACAGGCAAGTGGTCACATCTGCACCATGTGACCTATGGTTTGGCCAGTAGGTACTCGGGAACTACTTATCAAATAAATGAATCTTCAATCAGAAGGACAACGGGTCACTGATATGCCCTACTGACAGCTGACCAAGATCACACACTGCCCACTAGACTTTGAATTGGCTCTCAACTCCAACTATCAATCTAAGTTCCCATTTATGAAATGGAGAGATAATTTCATCACCTCCTTTTTTGAGGGCAATGCTTGGAGACTAGGAAAGACCTCTTAAGAAATTAGGTCCCTAAATAATCAGGTATAATAATTATACTTAGGATTAAGGAAAAGCCAAAAGGTACCTGAGTATTGATGAGAGACCTTGCCTAAAGCAAGGCTCCAAGCTATAAATCCTATTATTTCCTGACCCATTAAAATGAAAATATCCTAGTGATAGATCCGTAGGTTTTCAGTAAGAAAACCTAACTTGTTCTGGCCCAAAGTTATGGCTGACCAAAGAGGTGACAGCTAAAGGAACCCAAGAACACAGAGAGAAGGACTGTGTCCAACAGCATTCAAGGTGGTTGGGAGACACTTACGGTTCAACCCGGTGAAGCTGAACATTCCAATTTGCTCCGTGATGTGGTTCCAGGTTCCAGGAGTCTTGAGGGCTTCTAAGCGTTCCCTAAGTTTAGATCTCATGGTCAGAATCCGGTCAGCCATTGTCTTCACATTACCTGTCCTAAGTGGACAGCAATATAAATGTCAATCCAGATAGGGCAGATAGATGACTCACAGAAGCATGTAGGTTTAAAAAATGGAATTTAATCTACATGCTGAAAACGAGACCACACACTGCCATGGTATGTGTGGATGCCTGGATGGGGTGGATGAGCAGACCGGAGAGGCACTTACCAGGCCCAAGGAAGTAAGTGAGCTTCTGATGGAGTTTAATACTTGTCTTGGATCTCCTGGCTGTAACACCACTCAGATTTTAACCCATAATTCACCTAGGTACTGACCCAGACAGGATCATGTATTTTATCAGCCCTAATTAAGTAGCCTGTAGATTTAGCTACTAAATAAAAATTATTGTTTCAAAATAGGGCAAAATATATGCAAATTGAATAAGAATGAAGTCCCCAGACTGTCGCACTGACTTGCATTTGGATATTGTATTCTATCACGAATTCCTTCCTGTTTTCCAACTTTTAGGGGAGGAAGCCTAGGTGGTAGGTGAGTTGGGGAGAACTGCCCGTTCGTTGAGCACTTCCTCCTCTGTGCCCAGTGCTATGTTACTCACATGTGTTGTGTTACACTCATGTGAGTAGGTGCTGGCTTCATTTTACAGAAGTACCTGAGACTCAAACAGTTTAAAGTCATTTTGTCCTGCCTCTGCCAAAATAAAAGGAACAGGCAGTTAAATGTAATGGGACAACTACTGTTCTACATCCCCACACCTCACCCATCAGGCTTTGAGCCCCTTACCATTCCTTAAAGAGCTCAGGGTTAGAGAGGGTAGAGGCCACAATCCGCGCTCCCTGAGCAGGGGGGTTGGACCAAGTAATTCGAACAATCTTCTCCATCTGGGAAAGGACCCGCAGGATGCTATCGGGATCTTTGGCAACCACGGTCAGATTGCCCACACGCTCATCTAAAGGAAGGGATGAGAGTCCGGTCAGGGTGCTGACGGGGCATGGGGCGGGCGGGGAGGCAGGGCTGGAACCTGGGAAGGCACTCACTGTAGAGTCCAAAGTTCTTGGAGAAGGACTGAGCACAGAAGAGCTCAAATCCTTCAGACACAAAATAGCGAACAGCCCAGGCGTCCTTCTCTAGGTCTCCAGATGCAAAGCCCTGATAGGCTGAGTCAAAGAAGGGGAACAGAAACCGGCGCTGCAAGGAAGGAAAGCGAGTCAGGGCAGGAAATCCTTCTGACACCAACCTCAGACACCAGCCTTCCTTCCCCAGCTGGTGCCTGCACAGGATTTCTAACTACCCATTTCTCCCAGCTCTCCCTTTTTGCATTCAACCACTGCTTTATATCTGTTTCTTTCTGTTCAACTAAATGCCAACCAACAAATCTAATAATTTCAGTAAACTTTATTTTTTTTAAGTTTATTGTCCTAGAGTGTCACGATGTCATTTTGCCAACCAGACTTATTTGTGAGGCGTGGAGGTAGCATCCTAGGTCGGTGGATTCTTTCCTCTGAATTCGTGATAAGCTTGATCAGCTTGGTCCACTCAGGGCTCCCCAACAGCCTTCGGCCTCATCTACTGAGCACTCGAGACAAAGGAGACTGCCAAGTCCCTATTCTCACCCCTCTGACCAACTCAAAGAACTTCCCACAATGGAGCTTGCCCCTTCTACTGGGCTCGTCCTCCCAGAAGACACCACTTCTGAGCCCCCGACTGTCCAAGCCAGAGGCCAGGGTGCATCCTCTACTCCTACCCTGGCAGCTCCTCCCTCACATCCAACTACATCCAACCACATCCCAGTTCCTATCACCCCATGTCCTGGGAGCTTGAGAGTCCTTTCAGGTCTGCCCCTGCCACGGACTGCATTCAGATTCCCGTCAGCTCCCACTCGGATTGTGGCAACAGTTCCCATGCATGGCTATGTCACAGTCCTAACTGTTCTCTTGGCTGTCTAATCTTGCCTCCCTTTGATCCACTCCCTGTTTATTTAGTCTGAAGACAGCATACCTGTGATCATGACATGGCATGACATCAAAGTCTTTCAGTGGCTCCCCCCACTGCCTCCAAATAAAGTCCAATGCCTCAGTACAGGATCTGGCCCCCATTTACCTCTAAGTCACTCACAACCCGTTAGAACTCTAGTCTGTACCGAGAATTACTTCCAATTCCTTAAATGGGCCATGACTTCTGTCCTGGGCTTTGATCTCACACTTTCCTCTGTAGGGAACATTCCTTCCCTGCCAGCCCCCACCTGTCCTCATCCTTCAAGTTTCAACATGGCTTCTTCTGCCATCACTGCCCTCCCAACATGCTTGCATGCACACCCACACGCACGTGCACACGCACACACTCTCTCTCTCTCTCTCTCTCTCTCCCCCAAAGTCTGGGCACGTGCCTTTACATAACCCCATCAGCACAGCCACAGTACTTGGCTGTCTCCCCAGACAGGCCATATGCTCTCCGAGGGCAGGGACCATCTCTACTGTGTTTACTCTTATACCCACCCCCCACCCAGTGCCTGGCACGTAACAGTTTCTCAATGAGTATTCTTCAAACACATTAATGAGGAATATAAAATGTGAGCTAGAAATTCCAATCTAGAAAGTTATCCCCAAGAAATAATAAAAAGGAGTCTTATACCTATTTGTTTAGAAGAACAAGAAACCTGAGGTCTAAATGTCCATCAACTGATTTAATCAATAGCTAATGTGACATAGCCATGCATGAGAACTGTGCTACGGAGCTTTCAATGGCGTGTAAAGTTCAAATGAAAGACAAAGGATCTTATAAAATGGTATAGATAAAATGATGCCATCTTTGTGAAAGAAATATATTTACATGTGTAACTCCAAAAATAAATAAATAAATAAAAATAAAAATAAAGCAAAAGAAAAGAAAGGCCCAGTACTCTATCTACCAAAATATTAACAGTAGCTCTTGGCTCATACTTATCTTCTTCTTTGGGCTTTTCTCCATTTTCCAAACTCTTCCATAAACAGGTATTGCATTTGAATACACAAAACAGTAATACATGCTAATGTTTCAAGAGATACTCTGAAAGGGCAGTTACCTTCATGACAGAGGCGATCTGCTTCCACTGCTCCGGAGTTGGGTCAGTCCCAGTTGGGTTGTGTGCACAAGCATGGAGGACAAAGATGGAGAACTCGGGGGCATTCTGAAGAGAAGGAAGTGATGTCAGCCCCAACGTGTGCAGGAATATTGGGGGGTCAGAGTCAGTGACACACTGGGCAAGGGGCAGTGTGTTTCTTCCTTACATGCTAACTCAGAAACCACTATTTTGGTTTGAGTAGGAATGTTTCAGACTCTCTCCCTGATCAACTGATCCAGAGACCTGCCCCTGCTCCTCCTGACATCATGGGGCTCTGTTTACTTTTTATCTAATCGCCCACCTCCAGATCATTCAGGAAACCCTGGAGATCAAGTCCTCTTTTCGCTTCATCCCAATAGCGATAGGACCGGATGTCTTTAAACCCAGCGGCGGAAAACACACCATTATGATTCTCTGTAAGCAGAAGAGTAAAAAGTTAAACGCTTTGACAAACACAGAGGCATAACTGGAAAGGACACACATCAGCCTCCAGGGCCCTCACAGGCTCAGCATTCAATGGACAACATCAAGGCAAGGGGTGAAAACTTAGAAAAAAGATTGCAATGCCCAAGAACAAGTTCAACCAGTCAGTCACGCTACACTTACATTCTACCCCGGTGAGGCTCTCTGTATCTACATTTTATGCCTCCTCGGGGAAGTTTCAACATACGCTAAAACCCAAGTCCAGCAGGAGTCTTAAAAACAAGTATTCCTAATCTGAACTGGAGCATCAGGTTACTCATGTACTGCCATCACCCACTGCTCAAACCATCCCCAAGTATCAGTTGATCCAGCGCTGAGTTACATTTTCTGCATTAGCAGTGACAGTGGTGAGGTTAATTCCTGCAGCTCCTCTGTTTCTTCTCTTGCCACAGCTGAAGGACTCACCCCAGGTTGGTGAGGACACATAGACAGGCGTGTCTTTGTTGTTTGTTCCATTGTACCATCGTGCTAAGAACTCGGCTCCGATTCGAAGTGCACCTGTTCCCCCCAAAGACTGCACACCTCCAACCTGGAAGAGAAGCAGCAGCAGGGTCACTGGTCGATAATGGTGAAGTCAGATGATTATTAGGAAAACTATGGTAACAACAAGCACTTACTCTGTGCCTGCTCTGTGCTATGCCCTTTAAACGTATTATCTTATCAAAAGCTCACAACCACATGACAGAGATACTATTATTCGTCCATGCTTACGAATGAGGAAACTGAGCCTATAAGAAGTGAAGCACTTTGCTCAGTAACCAGCCTCTGAGCACGAAGGCCAGGTCTTCCACCTGGGAAGTCTGAGAGTCTGACTCTTGAGGGGAGTTTCCCTACTGAACACAGGTTGAGGACATACCCAGGCCACATTAGACTTTGCCCACCTGGAAGGCAAACTCGCCCCTTCAGCACCCATCCCAAGATCAAAATTCCTCCCAGCAGAAGCCTATGAAATAAAGTCTCTAACTTGCCAGTGACCTCAATCTGCAATGCCATACCCCATCGCTACAAAGCTGGCTTATTAACCCGGAGAAATATGTTCCAACAAAGGTGACATGTGAGGATTACTTTCCGTAACTTCCTTGCATCTCAAAATGACCTCACGTGGGCAAAGACAGATTCTTGGTCTTCCCATTTACAAAAGACCTTCATACACATTTGATCCTTACACAACTCTATAAAGTAAGTCCTAGATCCCCAACTCACACACAAGGAAATCAATTCAGAGAAGTGGTCTGAGAAAAGTTAAAGGCTACGAGTGGCAGAAAAGCTGTGGGCAGCAGAGCTGGAAATGAATCCAGGAGGCTTTCTTGCTTGAGATCTAGTCACCTGCCCTGTTACGCTGTTCTGCCTACACACCTTCAAGTCTGCCCTCTCATAATTCTTAGGTAGGCTTTGGTATGACCCTTTCCATAGAGAAATGTCAAACACTGCTCAGTACCTCTAAAGGAGGAAGAAAGAAAAAGATCATCTGAGAAAGTCTATCTTTAGATAGGCTTTTCTTTATAAAAGGAAGGGCACACCAATCTGACAACAGGGACAACCTCCAAGAGAGGCCTAGGATGGGGGAATAGTGGTCCTACTCTAGAAGCTATTTTTTTTTTAAAATAAGGCGAATGTATTCATGCATTATTTGCAAAATTTTAAAATAATTTTTAAAATATATTTAGATGTCTGGGATTTGCTGTAAAATAATTCACCTTTGGCATGAGGGCAGAGGGTGATTGTTGAAGCTAGGTGATAGACACATGGATCTGTTCATCACACTGCATTATCTATTTTTGTAAATATTTGAAATTTGTCCACAATAAAAAAGGTTAAAAAAAAAAACCCTTCCTAGACAAAGAAGAAAAGCTTCTAAATTTTTTTTTAAAACTAACAAAACACAGATGTTAAAAGATAACAAAGAGGAAAAAAATGGAGAAAAGGGAGACTGAGCTCATTCATGAATATTGATACTTTCTAAACAAACATTTATGAACAGCATGAATCCAACAGCACACTAAAAAAAGCACACCCCATTGCTCAAGTGACAGCCCACGAATTCAAGATTGTAAAGAAATGTATCATAAAGTGTATACTGCTGGGTCGCCTGGGTGGCTCAGTCATTTAAGCATCTGACTCTAGATTTCCGTTCAGGCCTTGATCTCAGGGTCATGAGTTCAAGCCCTACACTGGGATCCATACTACGCGTGGAACCAACTTAAAAAAAAATAAAGTATGTCATGCTGCTAGGTAGAGAAAACCCAAATGATCTTCATAACAGATTAAAAGCAGAGCTATTCCTGATTTTGATGCTCAGTACAACAGGAGATAATGGATACTTCTTGAAAATAACAGGAAAAATTCATTCAGCCATGACAAATAAATCAGCTTCATGATGAACTGTGAATCATTGACATCCTCCTTAAGCCAGGAACAAGGCAGTGATACCAATTGTCACCACTTGTTATTTCTCCCCAGCGTTCTGTTTGTATTCAGAGGTCTGAGCATCTGTAAAGGAATACTGTCTGAAATGTGAAACAGAAGCAAAGTGGACATTCAGGGGAAGGAGCTGTGCACAGTCATGCACTGTAGGAGAGCCAGGACAGTGGACTGGCTGAGAACGGTCAGCGCGTGGTAGGCTGACCATCTCTGTCCTTCACAGTGACCCCCACTGAGCACCAGGCCCCTCTCATTACTTTCAAGGTCTTGCCTTCACATGTCATCTATCTGGATTCCTCATACAAATCACTACCAAGGTGATGTTAAATGCACATTTATTTTTCATAGATTTGTCACCAGCGAAGTTGAACGTCAACTTTATCCATTATTTCACATTTCAAACACCTAAGCAAGTCTGGAATGTTGATGCTTCTATATAAATGAGCAAGACTCTCCTTGAATCTGGTTTTAAATTATCATGGGTATGTATAGGTGTATGTGGACATCAGTGCAAACATTCCCAGGTATAATCTTTTATTTCTCTCCCACTTTAAAACACAAATTCATTAACTAAAAGGAGTCAGAAGGTCAGTAGACTAGATTGGATTGCAAACATGTTTAGAAGAAATAAACCTACTTCAGTAACATTAACTGATCCTTAACATTCATGATGTATATATATGATATATGACACTTAACATCGAATTCTCAAGAAATTATCATTACCTAAAAATATATTGAACACTGGATGGCTTCAGCGAAACACAACTGTATCAGCAATTAAAAAAAAGAGAAAAATTTGGGGTGAATCAGTAATGTATCAATTTGGTCATTCTGTGAATTGAATTTTGGCAAACTGCTCTAAAGCCCAAGGAAGCCCTGCATTTGGAATGAAGAAAACAAGTGTAAAGTTCAAAAGGAGCCAGGCAACTGGCCCTGGGTGGCTAAACTGGGAGTGTCCAGGACAAGAAAAATCCAGTAACATATGGAGTGAATGATGCCAGTTGGGAATCTATATTCTCAATTTAGCCACATGGCCTGAAGAAATCCCTGCCGGACTCAAGAACACTTGTCTGAGATCAGAGTTTACTGATGTGATGACTTCACGGTAAGAAGCAGGAGAGTTGATCAGAAGCTGCTTATAGCCAAGGCCATGGCACATAAACCTGGGCACCCCTACCAGTTCAGTGTCTGGCACAGGGTGCTAACATGGGCAAACCAGATGAAGAAGATGATGGTGTTGAAAGGATGAGCCACAGCAAAAGCCCTGAGCCTCTCAGAGGCAAGAGTCAAAGTGAGGAACTGGGATGGCATCACATGACCCACAAGTCCTCCTACCAAAGGCAGCTCAGGAATTTCCAAAGCTGCATTACAATGCAGGAGATGAAACCTGGACATATGGTCTGGATCCTAAGGTCTAAAAATAGAAAGCAGTAAGCAGCACTGGTAAGTATAGAAAACAGGGCTCCTCAAAATGGTTGATGGACCTGGTAATGTTAAATCTTGAGAAGAAAAATCTAAGGGAAGACAAGATTACTAATTGGTTTCTGGTCCATTCATTCATTGATGCCTCATCTCCTTCAAGTTTTGGCTGAGGGGCGCCTGGGTGACACAGTTGGTTAAGCATCTGACGTGGTTCGGCTTAGGTCATGATCTCAGGGTCATGAGATCAAGCCCCACATTGGGCTCCACACTCAGCACAGAGTCTGCTTCAGACTCTCCCCCCCCTTCTCCCTTTGCCCCTGCCCTTGTGCTCTCTCTCTCAAATAAATAAATGTTTTTTTAAAAAAAGTTTTGGTTGAAATGTCATTTCTATTTCTATCATGACCACTCTTGTGAAAACCACATCTACCCCAACTCCCACCCTCAGCACCCTTAATGCACCTCTTCTAACAACATTTATATTATTTTAACATACTCTATCATATTCTTATCTATGACATTTGCAATTGGCTTCTCCACACAAATCTGTAAGCCAGGGCAGATTTTGGGTCTTTTGGTCAGCACTGTGCTCTAGCTTCTCCAAAACAGTGCTTACTGAGGTTAAGCACTCACCTGTTGACTGAATGAGTGAATTCAAACATCTGAGAATCTCTGAAATGCCAGGCTAGGACCTAGTATGTACTAATTATGTACAAGATAAATAAGTAAGCCATCACCTCTGCCCTGAGGGAAGTGTGAGACACAGACTTAGAAAATTATACAACATAGTAAGCACAGTAGTATTGTTATTCCTAAACTATGAACTAAGTCCTGTGAAAACTCGGCTCTTAAGGATTCATCATGGAAGTGACCCTTGGTCAGGCCCTGCAGGACTTAGAGGCTCCTGGAATGGTAGTGTGGGCTGTGAGTCACTAGAACAGGATGAAGGCTGGCTACAAAATATACCACATGTCCAGTTCAAAGTCTAGATTTGCCCTGTAGATTATGGAGGGGCTACTGTGTTTGTGTGTGAGGTTGGGAGCAGGTGACATGATTATCAGCAATTTTTTTTTTTTCTACAGAAGATCATCCTACCTGCACTGTGCAGAATCTTTTTTTTTTTTTTTTAACTTGAGAGCAAGAGAAGGAGAGAGGGAGAGAACAAAAACAGTAGGAAGGAGCAGAGGGAGAGGGAGAAGCCCATTCCTTCCTGAGCAGAGAGCTCAATGGGGGGCTCGATCCCAAGACCTTGAGATCATGACCTGAGCCAAAGGCAAACAACCTGACTGAGCACCCAGGTGCCCCTGCACTATGAGAATCTAATAGAATGGGGAGGAGACTAGAGACAGGAGGTTATCACAAGAATCCAAATAAGAGGATGGTGGGCTGAACTAAGCAGCTTGGGGATGGTGAGGACATTCAGGGAAAAAGAAAAGACTCTGAGCTCAGAACCAGCCAGGACCTAGGGAGATACAGATGCCAAGAGAGCATCCTAAACCATCCCCTGCCATCCTGGAAAGAAAAAAAAAAAAAAAAAAAAACACCCTTCAAATATTTACAGACTGCCATCTAAACCTGTTCTCTGACCAAAAATACAACAGAGGACAAAGTAGGCTAGGAGGGAAGGTCAGGTCCCACAAGCCTTCAGAATGAAATGATCCAAATGGGAGCACCAGGAAAAGGGACAAGTACCTGCCCAGGACGGGCACACGCACAGTTTCAGAGGAAGAAGGTCCCCAACACAGAAATGGTTTTTCTTTCTCAACAACAGAATTCCATCTAATCTATCCATGGCATCCCACAAGAGAACCCTAGCTGCCAAAGTCCTCCACGCTCAAACTCATCGGGACTCTCCTCAGTGTCCCGATGCCAGCCAGCAAAACTGGTTCATGACTTGCCTAATCACTGACCCAAGTTCCAGAACCTTCACCCAGAGCCTCCCTGCCTCCTGATATAAAAGATGGTGCGTATGTGCCCCTCATTTCACTCCCTGCCAAATGCCTGCTTATCGAGGCATCTGGGAAACAGCCTGTGGGGAATAAACCAGATAGCTCCAAGATGCGGTCCCTTCCACGCATGAGGCTTGCACTACAGCACAAGCCCAAAAGAGCAGCAAGGGCAGCTGGCTTCAATTGAACAACACCTAACGGGACTATCGCAAAAGCTTAATAAGCCCATCTCCATCCTGCTCCTGCAGCCAGCTTTATCTTCTTCAAACACTTGAACTGGGTAACTCTCCTGCTCAAGCCGTCAGGTGGTTTCCCCTAGTCAGGGTGCCAAAATCAGGCTGGACATGCTCCCAGCTCCAGTCAGGTAGATGTCTCTTCAACCTAGACCCACCTGCCTCCTGTCCCTGCATTCCCACTACTCCAAACAAATGCCTCTCCTTTTTCCTTCCACTGTACTTTGTGGTTCCCAATGCTGGCAGGACTTTGGAGTCAACAGGGGAGCTTTTATTTTTTTTTTAAGATTTTATTTATTTATTTGAGAGAGACAAGAGAATATGCGAGAGAGAGAGAGAGTGAGAGCATGAGCAATGGGGAGAGCAGAGGGAGGAGAAGCAGACTCTCCATGATGCAGGGTTCGGTCCTGGCCCCAAGAACATGACCTGAGCAGAAGGCAGGTGCTTAACCAACTGAGCCACCCAGGCAACTGAGCTTTTAAAATCATGCCCTCGCAGGGAAGGGACCTACAGGGGAAGAGGGGAGCACTGGGAGTGAAGGGGCAGGTAAGGGTGGTACCTCCAAGATTCTGACTGAACTGGTCTAGACTGGGGTCCACCCATCTGTATGTGTGTAGAACCCCCAGGTGGTACTAATATATAGCCAGAATTGGGAACAGAGTCCTGGCCTCGTTCCCCAAGGTTCAGCTCATGTCCCAATTCTACCCCTACCACCACCCCTGTCCTCTGAATCCTTACAACACTGAAAAGGTCTACAAAACCATTCCTGCCACATATGCCCTTCATCTCGCTGTATGTGCTTCCAGATGTGTTCTTCCACATGTCTCTCGTTTACATAGAATATATACACTTAAGAAGCACTTAAATGGGAGAAACTAAGATCAAGGCTAGGAGAATTAAAGAATGCTAGAACTGGCAGGACTTCGCAGAGCACCTAGACTAGTGGCTCCTGAGCTTTTGGGGCCACAGACTCCCGAAAATCCTGTAAGAGCAGGGCCCCTGGCTGGCTCAGTCAGGGGAGGATGCCATTCCTGACCTCAGGGTTCTGAGTTTCAGCCCCACAATGAGTGTAGAGATTACTTAAAAATCATAAAATAATAAAATAAAATAAAATAAAATAAAATAAAATATAAAAAAATAAAATAAAATAAAATAAAAAATAAAAGCTATAAACTTTCTCCCCAGAAATACACATACACACAGAATTCAGCATAAAATTTCAGGGATGGGGGTGCCTAAGTGGCTCAGTCAGTTAAGCATCCGACTCTTGATTTTGGCTCAGGTCATGATCACAGCGTTGTGAGATTAAGCCCCAGGTCAGGCTCTGTGCTGGGCATGAAGCTTGCCTGGGATTCTCTCTCTCCCTCTGCCCCTCTCTACCCTGCTTATGTGCACACTCTCTCGAAAGAAAGAAAGAAAGAAAGAAAGAAAGAAAGAAAGAAGAAAGAAAGAAGGAAGGAAGGAAGGAAGGAAGGAAGGAAGGAAGGAAGGAAGAAGAAAGAAAGAAAGAAAGAAGAAAGAAAGAAAGAAAGAAAGAAAGAAAGAAAGAAAAACCAAACTTCTTTTTTTTCAGGAGTTTCAGAGGCCCCTTAAATGTTCCCCTATGCAACTGTTCCCTGTGGGATCATGAACCACAAACTGGTCCTTTCCTAACATGTAGATGAGATGTCAGGGTAAATGACTTGCCCCTGGTCAAAGAAGGAGCAGATCTGGGTCCAGACCCTGATCTCTTGATCATTCCATAAAATTCCCTTGGCTTGGCATTTCCACTGACTACTTCAGACCCAGCAGCCACAACCTGATTACCTACTGCATAAAACAGAACAATCAAAGAAGCCATGCTTGGTGTATGGCCACATCATGTACACTATCAGATCCTAAGATCACACTACTTAAAACCCCTATTTGTGGACAGTTCAACAGACGTAACACCTAATACTTTAAACCAAATTAAGATTTAAATCTTTTTTTACCTTTGCAGTTTCTAAATAAAATACAGCCAACCCTTGAATGACACAGGTTTGAAGTGCACAGGTCCACATATACCTGAATTTTTTTTAATACAGTATAGTACTGTAAATGTATTTTCTCTTCCTTATGATTTTCTTAGTAACATTTTCTTTTCTCTTACTTTATTGTAGGAATACAAATAGACTACACGCAACATACAAAGTATGTGTTAACTGACTGTCTATGTTATCCATGAGGCTTCCAGTAGATTACCAGCAGTTAAGTTTTCCGGGAGTCAAAAGTGGTACAAGGATTTTCGGCTGAGCATGGGGTCAACACCCCTAATCACCACATTGTTCAAGGGTCAACTGTGCATCCTTACCCAAAACTCACCCGCTTCTCCTGGAGAGCTGGGCTGTCATCCCCAAGGGCAAGGCGGGAAGCACAGGTCCGGAACTCCACTAGGCCAAGGATAGGCAGGTACTCGTGGTTTAGGCTATTGTCATTGGCAATCTTCTGCTCCACCTTCCTCACAACTGGCAAAACCCAGGGCTGGCAATCGTCTGTGCGATAAGCTGGAACACAGCAGAGAGTCATGTAAGAGGAGGAGACAGGCTTCACTGGAGGAAGAGTTGGCACTGGGGCTGGGGCGCATTCCACCTCCAATCGGACAGAAGAGCAAGGGAAGTGAAAGCAAAGCTCCTTTGAAGACTGCCTGCCTGCTTTGGAACCAGGCACCAAGCTAAGTGTGGCACAGGCAGGACAGATGCCATTCCGACCCTTATGGATACTGGAGCTTTGACGTATGTGACCTCTATAAGACAGAACACTGAAGTAAAACTGGGACATCATGGAGCCTGACTGGCGAAAAGAGTGCACGTCAAAGTGCTCTGCACACTGAGAAACCCCTTCCAGTTGCTATGTTGATAGTAGGGGCACACTGAGGTCTGTTTTGCCATGGGCCCTCGTTTTCCTCCTTCTGCATCTCCCCAAGGAATTTCCAGAAGAGTGCTAGGGGCTACTTCACAGTGCTAAGGACCTTCAAACATAAAATGTGGAGAGGAGGATGACCTCCTCCCCTTTCCTATAAGAACAGAAATGGGACAAATGGCGAGCAAAGGCTCCATGGCTGAAAGTTCCAGCAAATGGTTACACAATCACCCAACAACTATCCGATATCTGCACACATCTTTGTCTCCTCTCTACCACTGCTGACCATCTTGACTGTTCCTCCTACCTCATATTTCACACTTTTATTGATCTAAATGTAATCCATTTCATATTTAGTCTTGCCTACAGCAAATTTCTAAGCCACCTATATGCTTAAAGTATTTTTAGTCCAGTTATCCTATCACTGATATTTTCTCCCTCTAATACTATATGATTATCTTAGGATTATAGCTTTAGAGTGCAGCTGCTGTGGCTTGCACCATTTGAGCAGATTCCTGACAGGGGTCATCTGACTCTGCTGAAATGTTTAGGTCTCCAACAGGCCCGCACTTTTGCAAGTGATTTTGAAACTGAAAATTTAAGAGTAATTCTGATTGTTTTATCTTGTTGATTTCAACCCAACATTAATCCTTGACTTAAAAAAAAAAAAAACCACTTTTTAGGATGATTGAAATTGTTTACTGAACAATAAATGTTGACTGTAGAAAAATTTTTTTTTTTTAAAGAGATTTTTTTTTTTTTTATTTATGATAGTCACAGAGAGAGAGAGAGGCAGAGACACAGGCAGAGGGAGAAGCAGGCTGCATGCACCGGGAGCCCGATGTGGGATTCGATCCCGGGTCTCCGGGATCGCGCCCTGGGCCAAAGGCAGGCGCCAAACCGCTGCGCCACCCAGGGATCCCCAGTAGAAAAATTTTAAAAGCCCAGAAAGCAAATGATAAACATTATGAACAAATAATAAATTATTTAATTATTATTATTATTATTTATTTAATAAATTATAATGTCATAAACATTATAATCCCAGGCCTCAGAGATAGAGTATCAACATTTTGGTGTACAACCTTCTAAGCTTTATTTTACATGAGTATGTTCTTCTATAAAATATGCATCATATTGTATATAAAATTTTCAACATTTTTTTTCCTCTTAAATATGAGCATTTGGGACACCTGGGTGGCTCAGTGGTTGAGCATCTGCCTTTACCTCAGGGAATGATTCCGGGATCAGGGATCGAGTCCCGCATTGGGCTCCCTGCGAGGAGGAGCCTGCTTCTCCCTCTGCCTATGTCTCTGCCTTTCTCTGTGTCTCTCACGAATAAATAAATAAATAAATCTTTTTTTTAAAATGAGCATTTTTCGTTGTCATTAATTATTCTTCTACTAGGTGATATATTCACATGTCCGCCCCCATCCTAATCCTCCAACTACCTCTTTCCAAATCCCACCCTCCAATAAATAACAGCTGTTCTTATTTTCTTTTGTAACCTTCCAGAATTTCCGTATGCATACAAGCAAATATAGGCCCTATGTCCTCTTTTTTACATAAAAGGTAACATGTAGCATACTATACGATGTTTTGTTCCTTGCTTTTCTATTTAAAGATCTTTTTTTTTTTTATCTGTGCATGGAGTAACTTTCTTTTTTTTTAAGATTTTGAGAGAGAGAGCATGCGTGAGTACAAGTTGGGGAGGAGCAGAGGCAGAGGCAGATGCAGAGGGAGAGAGAATCTCAAGCAGATGATAGCCTGAGCAGGGAGCCCTCAACCCTGAGATCATGACCTAAGCTGAAATCAAGAGTTGCATGCTTAACCAACTGGGCCACCCGGGTGCCCTTTTTCATTCTTTTTTTTTTTTTTTAACAGCTGCATAACTGATGAATGTACCACAAATTGTAATTGTTTTGCCAGTCCCTTGTTAATGGACATTTGAGTTGTTTCCAGTCTTTAGCTAGTACAAAAAAATATTTCAATGAACAACCTAATTCATGTCATCTTACAGGTAACTATATCCAGAAGATGCAGGGTTGAAAATGAAGAGTTGGCTAAGAAGTATGTGTATTTGTAGTTTTGACAGATATATCCAAATTGGCCTCCATAGGGATTTTATCAGTTAACATTCCTACCATCCACATACAAGTGTCTGCTTCCCACAGCCTCATCCAGAATAAATTTTTGTCAGTATGAGGATGCAAATGGTACCTCAGGGTAGTTTTAATTCACATTTCTCTTATTATGAATGCAATGGGCATTTTTCTTATTTACTTACATACTTGTTTGTTTATTTAAGTAGGCTCCATGCCCAGTGTGGAGCCCAACACAGAATTTGAACTCATGACCCTAAGATCAAGTGCTGAGCTGAGATCAAGAGTTGGAAGCTACATGACTGAGCCACTCAGGCTCATGATCCATTTACAATACAATTTTAGTGACTAGACAACATTCCTTTCCAGGCATAACTTATTAACTATTCGTGTTGCTTTCAATTATTTGATTACATAAACACTATGATAAATATTCTTATACCTTTACACATATTCATGAGTGTTCCCTTAGAAAAAAGTTTCTAGGAGGGAGGGGCAAGATGGCGGAAGAGCAGGGTCCCCAAATCACCTGTCCCCACCAAATTACCTAGATAACCTTCAAATCATCCTGAAAATTTACGAATTCGGCCTGAGATGTAAAGAGAGACCAGCTGGAATGCTACAGTGAGAAGAGTCCGCGCTTCTATCAAGGTAGGAAGACGGGGGAAAAAGAAATAAAGAAACAAAAGGCCTCCGAGGGGGAGGGGCCCCGCGAGGAGCCGGGCTGAGGCCGGGGCGAGTGTCCCCAGGACAGGAGAGCCCCGTCCCGGAGGAGCAGGAGCTGCACCAACCTTCCCGGGCGGGCGGAAAGGGGCTCGCAGGGAGTTGGAGCAGGACCCAGGAGGGCGGGGATGCCCTCGGGCTCCCGGGGACACTAACAGACACCTGCGAGCGCAGGAGAGTGCGCCGAGCTCCCTAAGGGCTGCAGCGCGCACGCGGACCGGAGCAGCTCGGAGGGGCTCGGGAGCGGCTCCAGGGAGGGAGCTGCAGGGCGGGAGCGCGAATCCAACAGCGCAGGCCCGGAGCACAGGGCGCCGGGACACAGCCCAGGATCCGGCCTCCCCGGGACAGGCAGAGGCCGGGAGGGCCCGGACAGCGAGGACGCTCCTGCCCCGAGCTGAGCAGATCAGCGGCCCCGCCCCGGAGCCTCCAGGCCCTGCAGACGGAGAACCGAGAGCCCCGAGCCCCATAGTTCCTGCGGAGGCTGAATCCAGGCTTCCAGAGTTGCCATAGCAACTGCGGCTGTTCCTCCTGGGGCCTCACGGGGTAAACAACCCCCGCTGAGCCCTGCAGCAGGCAGGGGCAGAGCAGCTCCCCCAAGTGCTAACACCTGAAAATCAGCACAGCAGGCCCCTCCCCCAGAAGACCAGCTGGACGGACCAGTGATACTCCCCCGTGTTCCAATACAACTTGTTTTTGGCCACTCTGCACTGAGCAAAATGACTAGAAGGAAAACCTCACCTCAAAAGAAAGAATCAGAAACAGCCCTCTCTCCCACAGAGTTACAAAATCTGGATTACACTTCAATGTCAGAAAGCCAATTCAGAAGCACTATTCTACAGCTACTGGTGGCTCTAGAAAAAAGCATTAAGGACTCACGAGACTTCATGACTGCAGAATTTAGATCCAATCAGGCAGAAATTAAAAATCAATTGAATGAGATGCAATCCAAACTAGAAGTCCTAACGACGAGGGTTAACGAGGTGGAAGAACGAGTGAGTGACATAGAAGACAAGTTAATGGCAAAGAGGGAAACTGAGGAAAAAAGAGACAAACAATTAAGGGACCATGAAGACAGATTAAGGCAAATAAATGACAGCCTAAGGAAGAAAAACCTACGTTTAATTGGGGTTCCTGAGGGCGCCGAAAGGGCCAGAGGGCCAGAATATGTATTTGAACAAATCCTAGCTGAAAACTTTCCCAATCTGGGAAGGGAAACAGGCATTCAGATCCAGGAAATAGAGAGATCCCCCCCTAAAATCAATAAAAACCGTTCAACACCTCGACATTTAATAGTGAAGCTTGCAAATTCCAAAGATAAAGAGAAGATCCTTAAAGCAGCAAGAGACAAGAAGTCCCTGACTTTCATGGGGAGGAATATTAGGGTAACAGCAGACCTCTCCACAGAGACCTGGCAGGCCAGAAAGGGCTGGCAGGATATATTCAGGGTCCTAAATGAGAAGAACATGCAACCAAGAATACTTTATCCAGCAAGGCTCTCATTCAAAATGGAAGGAGAGATAAAGAGCTTCCAAGACAGGCAGGAACTGAAAGAATATGTGACTGGATAAAAAAGCAGGACCCATCTATTTGCTGTCTACAAGAGACTCATTTTAGACAGAAGGACACCTACAACCTGAACATAAAAGGTTGGAGAACCATTTACCATTCAAATGGTTCTCAAAATATACCCTAAAAACTATAGAACACTTCTGAAAGAAATTGAGGAAGACACAAAGCGATGGAAAAATATTCCATGCTCATGGATTGGCAGAATTAATATTGTGAAAATGTCAATGTTACCCAGGGCAATTTACACGTAT